AAATCTTACGATTTGATTGGCTGAACAGCATGTGACAATACATGAACTTCGTGTAACATTGGACGGTTCCCCCTGTTCCATGCTCTATTTTTATTACTGAAATTTGCCGATGATCATCACAAAATTCATCATATGTCTCAAATCAAAATTTTCTCCGATATTAAAAATTGGAACGAGATTAATAAATGAGAGGTGTCAAGGATAGTGTTCCGCAAAAAAGATCCGAACGGATCCGCTATTTTTACAGATGTTCTCAAATTCTGGGACAACTGATAAAAATTGTTTCGGCCGAATTCGGTAAGCTTTTGAATTCGGTGTTATCGGCATTACTGTCAATGTCATAATACCGAATTCAAAAACTTATCGAATTCGGCCGAAACAATTTTATCAGTTGTCCCAGAATTTATGAGGACAGCTATAAGGGCATGAAAATAGGATTTTACAAACTAAAAATGTGCATATAATTAATATGGAAAATACACTACCGGCAACAGGCCCCACTTTTCTCTTACGTGTACCTGTAGCCAATGGCATGCTTTCAAACTCACTGCATAAACCGGATCCGGATCCGAATTGATGGTTTTTGAAGACCTGCTACTGGCGATAGACGCTTGAGTGAGAGAGACAAATGAAGCCTGTTGCTTGTAGTGTGATTTTCATATTAATTATATGTATAGTTTCAGTTCTGGTACCTTTGTGAAATGTTACATTCACATCCATTAAAATAACGGATCCGCATGGATCTTTTTTGCGGAACACTAGTCTAGGAAAATGTCTGGGAAATTGATTCTCCGATTGATCAAAAGATTATCGTAGCTGATGCTGAAATTCGAACCTATTTTGATATGAAAATTTTAAATTTTTTTGGGGTGTTTTTCTCCGCCTTTTGTTTTAAGGTTAGGCCAGACCAATTTAATTCGGTGGTTTACATTACATCCTTCTCACAAAAGGGGGGGAGGGGGGCTGGAGGGAGTTTATTATAAAAATTTTCTCCGAAATGATCCGCGATATTATAAAGATTTCCGAAATTTTCCGCATATATAGTGAGGGGGGAAATGGGGAAGGCAGAAGGGGGGGTAATGTAAACCACCGAATTAAATTGATCTGGCCTTAGGTTAGGATTTAGGGTTAGACTTGATAATTAAAGAGCATATGTGAATTTTAGCAGGGTTTATATTTTCAAATCAAGACTCCAGATTTCAGCATCAATAATTAATAAATGTGGCAGATTAAAATGAAATTCAGGTTAAAATGAAATAATAATATAAAATCTCGAAAAATAAATTTTTTTGGAGGGGTTAGAATTAGGAGTTAGGATTAGAGTAAAATATATTAAACAAGTATAAGTGGGTTTTAGAAGGTTAGAAGGTTTCATAGAAAATGTAGATTTCATTTTAAATTATAATCTGCGACAATTATTGATCGGAGAATTGTTTAATTCCCAGATCGCCATTTCATAGACCACCTCCCAAATGCGTGATTCAAATTACATACTGTATTTTCGCCCATGAACGTTATTTCGAATTTTGGCCCAATTAAGCCTAATTTAGGCCAAAATTCGCACTTACGCGAAATACGGTAATTTTTATTTCGATGCTACTAGGAAACAGAAGAAAACTTTGTATAAAAAATTTAAAGCTAAACAAATATTTTATCACGTATAATTAAGGAGTAGATAGACACATGTGGGTAAAATGTGATATTTATTAATAAATTCGAACTTATCAATATATAATCAAAGCTTTAAGCACGCCAATTCGCGTTTGAAGAGAAAAAAAAAATCAAAGCTTTAAATTTATAGTTAACCAACGACCTACTAAAACAGTCCAAATCTAAATATTAAACTCGGGCCTTTCACTACTAAAAAACTTGTATCTATTCAAGTTAAACAATTGGTAATAAAAGCTTATTTGAAACTAACGCAATAAAACTGCTTAAGCAAAAAACATTTCCAGTTATTTTGCATGGTCAAATAGACGACAGTATATTTTGTCTTCTAAGCAAAGTTCGACATTTTGGGGATTATTTTAGATTATTTTTACATAACGAACGTTATCACTTCACTCAACTAAATCTAAAGATTGTTTTGGGGTGATTTTTAAAAAGCACTGTATAAAATATAAATAAGTTACATAAGTTACCCAATCATAATGAATCGGTTTAGACGAAATTACGCGATAATTTTTTTAGGATTATGTTGCAATTATGTGAATTAAGCAAATTTATGCACAAAATTTGCGACAACTTATTAAAAATCACACCTGATTTTTTTCTCCCAAAATATGTTCCGTTTCTAATATATGGTCATAATAAATTACCCGGATAACCAGAAATTTCTCAGCGGGTACAATCTCTAGACCTGCTCGTAATTTATGCTAATTCACTATCTACTTTTCCGAATCCTCCCGATACCAATATGACTTTAATGTTCATCAGATAAAAATAACAAATTATGTTTAATTCCGCGCTAAAATTCTGCCAATTCTGCTACTTTTTAGAGACGTTATGATGTTCAATTCGCGCATTCCTAGTATTTCATTATAAACTTTGAGACCAAATTTATTTTTATTTTTTTACTAATAATAGTTAAGAAGCATAAATTTCTGAATTTAGTTTTACGTACGTACGTACTGTACGTACGTCTGTGATTTGTGTAACAAATCAAATTGCATATTTTTTATTTGGATGGATATTGGACCCACGTGTCTATCTGATCCAGGATAAACACAATTTACGTTCTCCCATTGGCTAATTCCCTTTTGAGGAGACGTAGAACCTTCCAAATTTTTAATTAAAATTGATATGAGGTTAAGGTTAGATTTAGTGAGGAGAGAAGCGCAGTAGGTAGGTAAAATTGCGTTCCAATACTGGTTTAGATATCTTTTTCATTTTGGCCGGTTTGATGGTTAATCAAAATTTTTATATCGGGTAATTGAGTAAGCACCAAGTTTTAAACGACTCCCTTTTTGGGGTTCATATTACAAACAAAGACACGAGTGAACGTAAACAACCTACGATTTTAAATAAACATGCAAATCAAATTTTATGCCCTTGACTGTGAGAATCTATAAATTAAAATATTATAAACAAATAGTTTCGGCGTCTCTTGTATTCGTCATAAAATTTTTTAATACTGCGGCAACTGAAGATTTGATCTCTATCGCATGATGATCTACATTACTTAAATTGCAATCCTCTAAACAATTTCACTCAGTTAAAATGATTTTGGTTTTAATCGATTTTTTTGATTTAAGCAATAAGTTTACAGTTGTAGTGTCTCAGACTAACGCTTGTGTGAGATTGCAGCTTACGCGTCTCAAATGATCTACAATCCCACACAAGCGATAGTCTGAGAATGACATAAGATAATGACATACTAGTAACTTGCTAGTATCTTGGCACGTTCGATATAGTTCATATATTAGTTTCATAGCGATGGATGTAATTACAATAGTATTCGTCGACAGACATAATTTTATAGCAACGAAAAACAACTTGGCTAATTATCACATTTAATAGCCTATGTATAAACATTTTTCATAGATTACGATGTGCAACTTTTTTATCCATCATTCAGGTTGGAGCTTGAGACAGATAAGCTTATTACAGTATTAGATAGGTTTGAGTAACGTGTACGAAAGCCCGTATAATCCCATGCATTGTGTTTAAAAACTTATATAATAATTGTTTAAATTTATGATTCTATTTTACACTACTGAATGGTCCGCAAAAAAGTTTACATTGTTGAAGCAATTAGAGTTACTTTTTTGATAAATTCATATATATATTATCAAAAATCCAATAAATTACATAACGTGTAGATAAATAGCTGAGTTTAACCCACCTTTTTTTTTTTTTTTTTTTATGTAAAAAATTTCATGTGAAACTTTTATGAATTTGTTCAATTCTACAATATTAAAATGAAACGCCTAAGGAAATAAAACAATTTTCCCTCAATCGAGGAAATTAAGCATTTCCATATTTGGAAACGGACGACCGATGAACGCCTCTTACGCTAAATGGTATGTTGCAAATTATTCGATGGTGACAAAGTAATTTCATAAAAGCGCTTATCACTCACAAAACTGGTGAATATGAGATTCTTAATTTAATACTTTCGATCTACTCTGCAACGTTGATCTTTTGAACTTTCCTACTTAATATGAATTAAAAAATAAGAGGTAATTACGAAGCTATCATATGATTAATAGTCAATCGAAGTAGGATTATCGTATTCAAGTGAAAATTGAACTTTAATATTAACGAGATTTTCGAGATCAATGATGACGGTTCGCCCCGAGTTTTTTTTTGTAGCCTATATCAATGCGCCCAGTTTGACTTTTTGTCTTATGTCTTTCAAAGCTTTAATCTTGTTACGCTGTAAAGACTTTTTTTATTTTTATTTATTTATTTCTTTTTCTTACATTTTCGGTTCCACCCTTGGTAGCCGAGCTTTCATCATCATCAAGGTGCTGGAACCTTTTAAAAATTATAAATTACCGCTATCTTACACGTAGGGTCTTTTGGTGACTGAATGAAAAACATTTATAGAAGATAAAAATGGAAGAAGAACCTCTTACCCCAATCGTGGGTGAACATCCACGCATTTCCCTTACACAGAGTTCTGCTGTGAGGGATTCGGTCATTACCTACAGTACTGATATTGCAGGTAGCAGTATTGGAGAAACTCGAACAAATACGTTTTCGAGCAAGCCAATGACAGAAAGCTCTCCACGCTTCTATCGCCAGAAGCGTTTCTGGACTATATGCGTTGCTGTGACTATAGTGCTTTTGGCCATATTTATTCCTTTATTTATCCTCGTCATTTTTCCCGCAATCGCTCAATCTGCAATTGACGGTTCTACATTAAATATTAATAGTATAAACCTCACAGATATTCAAGAAGATAGTGTAACAATAGCTTCTAGTGGCAATGTTACCAATGCTGGTCCTTTTTCGTCTACAATATCTTTCGATGAACCAGTATCTATGATTTATAATGGTATAGAGATGGCTCGACTTAATTTTGACTCTATTTCAACTAATAATGGTCATGCAGATATTATATTAGATGCGAGAAAATTAACAATTATAGACCAAGATGCATTTAGCAATTTTTCACTGGATGCCTTCTTACAGGACAGTATAAAAATGACTTTAAAAGGTTCTGCTCGTGTAAAATCTATTGGTATAACAAGAGGCAGTTTAAACTTACGTAAGGAAGTCACACTGAGAGGTGCTAGCAATTTCCCTAATGTCAGCATAACGTCATTAAATATCAACCAGGATCCTCAGAATCCTCAAAACATAATATTAGAACACACTGCCCAATTATATAATCCATCTATTTTTTATATAAATATGGGCAAATTTGGTGCAGATATTCTTTATAACAATTCTCACATTGCAAGTATGGTGATTATGAATTTCACATTAGAGCCCGGTATGAACAATATTAGCATGATTGGTAATGCAACTATGCCAAATTCTCCTCAGGATCTTGTTAATTTAGGTCAAGTTATGCAAGCATATTTGACAAATAATCCAGTAACGACACAAGCGAAAGGTACATATGTATATCCAGATGGTACAAATTCTGTGGAATGGCTTACAACAGTAATCACTAAACTGCCATTGAACGCTGTCGTTGGCAATAATCCTAGACTTGAAGTAATTACAGGCTTAGATCTTGGTCAACCTACTGTGAATTTTAATGGACAATCAAGTTATGCGCCTTTATTCTCTGCTACAAATGTTAAAGCCAGTTATATATTACCTTTTCACATTAATACAACAATATTGCAAGTTTCACAAGACATTACACTCCTCACTCAAGATGGTCAAGAATTTGCTAATCATTCTACCAGCATCATTACTGTGACTACCGATAATGGTACTGACATTATCATTAATATTCCACCAACTCCGCTCAATGTGATTTCTGGCAACGATAATATATATCAAACATTTTTTGCAAATTTAACAAAAAATGATCAGGGATTGGTGTATATTAAAGGTTTAGCTAGTATTGTAGCTAATACATCTTTGGGTCCCATTCCAATTAATGGGATTCCATTCAATGTTTCCACTACATTACAAGGCTTTTCTAATTTTGCCAAGACCGCTCCTACCATTAACGATGTAACAATTCTTGATGCTACTTCAAGTTCTATGGTTCTTGGAATTCATGCTACTATTTACAACCCTTCAAATATGTCAATTGAGCTTGGCAATACAAATTTTAAGGTCCTCTACAATGATGCAGAAATTGGTTTAGCTAGTACAAATCTGTCAGTTGTCCCTGGCGCTAATAATGTTACTCTCCAGTCAACTATGGATCCAAACAATTCACCCCAAGCTACTCAACTCCTTGCAAATTTCATGAACAAAATTGATTCTCTTGTTATTGTCTCAGGTTATGATGGTTCAACTAGTTTTGAAAGTTTGAAACTTGCATTTGAAGGTTTAAACATGAATACAACTTTATCACCTTTGAAAAATCCATTGATTAATAAATCTACCTTGCGTATGCGTGATAGTACACCAAGTGATGGTATAGCAACAGGAATTGTGGATATGTCAAATCCTTTCGTGGCTGGATTTAATATTATATCTATTGAGTCAACCATTACTGCTGATGATGTTCAGCTTGCAAAAGTTTCTCAATCAAATCTTAATATTAATATTCCTGGAGGTAAAACAATTACTACCGATTTGCCAATATCACTTAACCTTGATCCTCCTACACTATTTGGTCTTTTACATCAAGAAGCAAAAGCAAAAAAGCAGAATACCGACGTAATTGATAGCTTGATGTCTATAGGTAACATTAATGCTCCAGGGGTACCTCAAGTAGATCCTTCAAACATTGATCCAGACATTTTCGATAACTTTGATATTGTCAAATTCACCAAATCTGCTATGGATAATATGAGCACAAACATGTCAAATGTAGTTACTGTCATAATTGTTGGTAAATCTGGTAACTACCAATTAAACTCGTTGCCTATGACTCAAATCGTTAACAACAACGTGGATGATAGTATTAAAATCTTAATTAGGCATCTTTCTGTACCAATTGCTACAGCAATGGTAGCTGCATCAAATACTGCTTTCACCGCTGTTAAAATTCAAAACCCAGGTGAATCCGAATTTACTTCTATAATTAGTGGAGGAATTGTTGCTTCTGTACCACTTAGTGCAAAAATTACTACTCCAAATGGATTGTCTGTAACCTTTAATGATAAAACACTTGGTAATGTTAACTTTCCATCAATCGACATTGTCCGAGGAAAAGCGGAACTCAAAAGTTTAAAATCCCAATTTAAGATTGAAGACAAAGACGCTTTAGCAGACTTTACTCAACAATTCTTAAATGCAGATACAATCTCATGGTCAATTACTTCACCAAGTATCACCGTTTTTGCAATGAAACTTGACATACCTGGAGTTTCATTTAATCAAAAGATTCAATTAAAGGGTGCGAATGGATTCAAAAATGCTATTAAAATTAAAGAATTTAAACTTCCAGGAGATGCACCTGAAGGTGGAATTTTGACTACTATTGAAGCTACACTTTCAAATCCTGGTACAATTGGTATGGAATTGGATACCGCTCTCTTCGATGTTTTCTCTGACACTACTAAGATTGGTGAAGTTTCTGTTGATGGTTTTGTCCTTCAACCAAATGGTGATTCAAATCTTAAGTTAAAAGGTCGTTTAATTCCTCAATCTGGTGATGGTTTGCAAGTTATTCAAAAGATATTTAATGAATTTCTTGCGGAGCAGGAAATTCCTCTTTTAACACAGGGGACAGGCACCAAACCTCCAATCAGTTGGATGTTATCTGCATTTAAATCACTTAAAATATCCTCAGTTCTTCCAGCTCAACATCATCCACCTCTTATTTCCGGTATAAATCTAGATAAACTTAGTCTAACTTTTACACCAGACACTGCATATAATCCTGACTCTTCTTCAGACAAAATCACAGCTGATGTACAAACACCTTTCGGCTTCACATTGAGCATTACAGATGTTGCACAAAAAGTAGTTATAGTTAATGATGGTGTTAATATGGCCGAACTTGACCTTCCTAAAACACCTACATCTTCAAAAATTAAAAATCAGAAAGGAACTGTTTTGATTTCATATAAACATATTCCGTTAAAAGTATTTGATGATGCACACGAAAATTTTGATTCATATGTTAAAGATTTAACCATTAAGAAATCATTGAAGTTTGGTTTTGCTGGATCTACCGACGCTTTCGTTTCAACACCTATTGGACCTGTAACACTTAATAACATTAGTGTGAAAGTCGAAAGCAAATTGCCTGGATTTCAAGGTTTTAATTCGAAAAAATCATCAGCAAAAGTTATAGATGTTTTAAATAGCACAGAAGATTCTCTTACTATGCCAATTATTACATCTATATTTAATCCAACCGACAATACAATCAGTGTTGGTGATGTAAATTTCGGCTTTTCTTTTGAGAACCAAGTATTAGGAAACGCTCTTATTCCAAAACTAACTCTTGTTCCGGGAATCAATAATGTCACTTCTATTGTCACATTCAAACCAACAACAAATGCTGCTAAAATAGCAAGTTTGAAAATGCTTTCTAGCTTTGTCTCGAATAAAACAGAAACAACCGTCATTTTTGGATCAGAAAAATCAACAGAAGTAGATAGTTTGAAAGTTTCATTTTCAGCAATAAGCATTCAAAAAGAATTACCGCCCTTACCCAAACCGTTAATGCAATCTATGTTCGTCATCCTTGATAATAACACACCCAAAACTAAAATAGGTTTTGGTGGTTTCTTCTTGGACAACCCATTTACAACTGACCTCTCTATATCGGCTGTTCAAAACGGTGTAGCTAAGTTTCATGATATCACCCTTGGAGTGATTAATTTCACATCTCCATTCCAAATTCCCTTTAAAGGCAAGACTGTTACAAAATCACCAAAGATCCCCATAACTCTTAATCTCAACCCGAAGGATCTTATTAAGATAATTAAACTTGCAGCTAAAGATGCAGGTATTGATATTAGCCCAATAATCCCACTTCTAGATATCTCATCATCTGATCACAAGAGAGATGTACATCTTGCTCCAGCAGCACCTGCACCTGCACCTCCAGCTTCAGATAAATCTAATAAATCTCCAGCTGCACCTGCATCACCAGAACCACTTAAAAAATCCAAACCGCCTCCTAAAGGTAACGTTACTGATCTTATCTTACAAGTACTCAACAGTATGAAAGTTGATCTCTCTGTAGAACAAACGGGTACAAGTATTGGTAAATTTCCGGCCCCAATATCAATGGAATTAAAAAAAGTGCCCGTAATGTTTGATGACACAGCACTTATATTAATGAGTGTAGTTGCCCCTCAAGTTGCACAAAAAATTATTGACCATAGTAAAATTTCGATGAAGTCTTCTTTCATCATAGATGAACAACCTAATAGTTTT